TTGTCATTTGCAGATTTTTTTTGTCATTATTTGAAAAATAGGCATTTCTAGGTTCCAAAGATCACATGAGGGCTATGGGTGTATCTCAGTGCTAGAGCAGTACTTGCCTAGCATATGTGAGGTCCTGGGGTTCAATCCCCAGCACCAAAAAAGGAAGAAAAAGGATCACTGGACCAGAGCAAATTAAAGTTCAGTTTTCTGTCATCATCCCTGTCAGAGCTCACTGAAATGTGTGTGATGGATAACGTATGTTCACTCTCGACTTTATTTTCAGACGCTTAACTGGGCAGTGAAGTCTAACTTCAGGTTGAACTTTCTCATGCTTAATCTCAGGCTAAATGTAAATGATATTTGTAAAGTTTGAATAAAATTCTGTTTATCATTTTTTGAGTTAAGTATGAAGAAAAGCAATTGTGTTTAAAAATTGAAATTGTTCATTTTGTGATAAATGATTGATTCCAAAAGCTTCTGTTTCCATTTTTCAATTCTACATTGTTATATTCTACGTATGTACTTTTGGTTTGAAGTGAGTTAAGTGAGTTGCCTTTTTTAATTACCATGAAAGAGGAACAGCAAGAGAGGATATTAGTAAAACTACACAGATCTACATGAGAACCTAGACATTAAAACCTCCATTTTGCTGGGTATGGTGGCACAGGCAGAAGAATTACAAATTCAAATTCAGCCTGTGCAACAGAGCAAGACCCCATCTTAAAACAGGCACAGTGGTATACACCTGTAACCCCAGGAATTTGGCAGGAGGATTACAAATTCAGGCCAGCCTCAGCAACTTAGACCCTGTCTCAAAAAATAAAAACAGGTGGGGATGTAGCTTAGTGATAAAGCACCTCTGAGTTCCATTCCCAGTACAAAACAAAACAGTTTAAAGAATTTAGGCAGACATGAAGTCTGTCACTCCTAAAATAAAAAATGGAGGGGGGGGGGTAGCTTCTAGACAAATAATTCTTACGAATGAATTTTTTAAAAAAAAGAAAAAAGAAAGGGCAAAAAAAATACACATCTCTCACTTGAAAACTATTTTAAAAAACAAAAAAAACCTGAAAGATATTCAACCAATTAAGAATATCAGAAAGGAAAATTTTAAATAATCCGGCCATTTCACCTAATAATTTTGTGATTTTAAATACTGGGACTTTGGGGCTCTATCCCATTCTCTTGGAGAATATGCGGATGAAATATTGGTAACAAAACTTGACAGATTTTAACTCTTGAACTGATTGTAGCAATCTGGTGTGGGGAAATGATCAACAAATGATGTTTGCTTAATGAAAAATTGGCAAGACTCTAAAAAGCAGTATGTTATGCTACATCCTTTTTATGAAAAATACAGTGATTTAAAATTATGCAAGATGGCAGTAAGGGGAGATTACGTTGCACTAAAATATAGGAGCTACTTACTAAAATAATGTTCTGAGGGCTAGGGATGTGGCTCAAGTGGTAGCGCGCGCTCCTCGCATGCGTGCGGCCCGGGTTCGATCCTCAGCACCACATACCAACAAAGATGTTGTGTCTGCCGAGAAATGGAAAATAAATATTAAAATTCTCTCTCTCTCTCTCTCTCTCTCTCTCTCTCTCTCTCTCTCTCTCTCTCTCTCTCTCTCCCCCTGTCTCACTCTTTAAAAAATAAAAAAAAAAAAAAATTAAAATAATGTTCTGAAATGTTAATGGTCACCACTCTGTGGTAAGTTAGGTAATTCTCATTCTCTTTATACTTTTTCTCGTTTCTACATTAAGGGAGACACACAGGGTGGAGGTCAGTGCTTCAGCACATGTTCAGCATGCATGAGGCCCTGGGTTCAAATTCCAAAACCAAAAATAAAAAGGCAGCAGAGGCAGGCATGCGACCGGCACAGGGTTTCTATGTGCTGTGGGGCAGTGTGATGGGGAAGAGTGGCACCTCATTTTCTGTAGTGACGCTCCTGCCTTTGCCTAGGTTCCAGAATCAACTGTTACACTTCCCACACAGCTCATTAGCTAGTGCTGTACTGACTGTTGGTTTCTCCGTCTTTCGCTGCACTATTCTCTCTCCAGCATTCAGAATCAAAATGTCATGGGCGCACCCTTGTAATCTCAGCCACCTGGGAGGTTGAGGCAATTAGATGGCAAGTTCAAGGCCAGCCTTAGTAATTTAGTGAGATCCTGTTTCCACAACAGAGCTGAAGATGTAGCTCAGTGGTAGAGTGTTCCTGGGTAAGGCTCTGGGTACAATCCCCAGCGTCATAAATGAATGAATGAATAAATAAATGGCACTGTCAGACTCTTCCCTCTTAGATTCTGAGGTGTGCCACACTGACTTAAGAAATCTCTCACCACTTATTTTAGGAATGGCATAGCTGAGAGGAACCTGCTCAGCAGCCTAGCCTAGCCTACAGTTAGATCAAAACAAGTCTGACACAGAGCATGGTGGTGCACACCTGTAAATCTTAGCATCTCAGGAGGCTGAAGCAGGAGGATGCCAACCTTAGCAACTTAATAAGGGCCTAAGCAACTCTAGGAGACCCTGTTTCAAAAAAATTTTTAAAGGGATTGGGATGTGACTCAGTGTTGAAGCATTCCTGGGTTCAATCCCCATCTCACCACCCCCCAAAAAAGGTCTGCTCATACAGTAACATAAAAGCCATCACATGAACTTCGTGATTATGTGTAGGCTGATTTAGAAAGAGGGAAAAAATAGACACATCAGTTGGTATAACAGAAGTAATCAATAGACTTCCACCAATATAAATATAAAATAATCTGGAAGCCATCAGCATTGTAACTACAGAGCTAGTTCATTTGCCATTATCTGGAGTGTAAACAGTAAGAATGAAACAAAGGTAAGTTAAGTTATTTCATTGTAGTTATCTAGCTGAAATACTTCCAAAGTATTTACCTGCCTAACTATATCAATAAGGAAAGCAAAGACAAATGAACACCTTGAAGATGAGGAATCAGGTGAACATTAGAATATTCGAGCCAACAAGTCCTTTGAAAGAAYGCTGAATCATATCTACCCCATCAGCTTTGGCACCAGTCTTGCATGAGTGCCTTTGCATTTAAATTGACAGCACTTTTCTGTGCCTTGAGCAAATTGTTCCCAACTTTGCAAAAATTAAAACAGAAGAAGTTTTAATGAGGCTCACACATATTTTTTAAAAATATATAAAAAGACTGGGCACAGTGATGCAAGACTGTAGTCCTATCAGCTCGGGAGGCTGAGACAGGAAGATCGCTGGTTTAAAGCCAGCCTTAGCAATGGCGAGGCATTAAACAATGCAGTAAGACCCTGTCCCTAAATAAGATACAAAATTACAAAATAGTGCTGGGGATGTGACTCAGTGGTTGAGTGCCCCGTAGTTCAATCCTGTGTGTGTGTGTGTGTGTGTGTTTTCACACAAAAAGTGGGGGTTTGAGGCAAAAATGGAATGCACTTATCTGGGGGTAGGGGATAGAACCTCGGGCCTCATATATGTTAAGACAAGTGCTGCACCACTGAACTAGAACTCTAAAAAGGTGAAACAGGTTTCCATTCCTGAAAGTCTTCAGCCTGCCAAAAACAAGCAGTAATTTCACCTTTGGAGACCACTTTAGAAAATGTGTTGTCTTATTTAATCCAAACAGTCCTATTAGGCTGATGGTATAACTCCTGTTTAAAAGCCAATTGAACAACCTGGGGGAAGTTAAAAGATTGGACCCAGTGGTCCTCAAATGGCTTCACTGGAACTTAAACATCTCCTGAGTCCCTAACAGCCCAGAGTCTCCAAACTGTTTGGAGGTTCTGGGCCACAACCATTTGTTTCAAAGCAATCAGTATTAAAAAAGTGGAGGGATGGGTATGTAGCTCAGTGGTAAAGGACTTGCTTAGCATTCCTCAGCACTGGAGAAAAAAAAGCAGCAGCCATAGGGGGAAATAAAACGCTGTATATGTGGAATACTTACATTTAACAAATTAACGTTTTTAAATTTTTAAATATTTTGATACAATCGGGCTATTTGTTCTAAAATAACTACAGAATATATTCATAGTCCAGCACAACCTTTGAGGTCCACAAATAAGTTATTTTTTTGATTTAATTTAGCAAATTCTACGGGTAATCTCATTTGGAAAGAAGGTCAAGCGTGCAAATTTCATCCATTTGTGAACGTGAGTGAACCCTGGGCACCACATGGCCTCTAGTGGCCCTCCTCCTCACCCTGGGAAGTCTCCTGGGAACAGCCCCTAAGCCAGTTGAGTCCTGCGGACCCGACCGCGGGAGGCTGCGCGGAGGAGCCCGCCCACGCTGTAGTTCCGGGGTCCTGGCCCCCAAGCCCCGAGGCAACCGCTTCTCTTCCCAGTAGAGGACGTAGTCGCGTCGCCCCGGAGACCGTTCCACAAGAGAAGGAACGCCCGAGGCTCAGCTGGGTTCAGGGGAGGATCCTTTCGCCAGGGTCATCATATCAATATTTTTGGTCAAGTGGAAAGAAATGAAAGGGAACAGAGGTCACCTGGCCCCGTGTGACAGACGCTGAATGAGGCTCCAAAAGGAGACGCCTCGCCAGAGGGCACGCGGTGGGTCGTACGGTACAACGAGAACAGACTGCAAGGGCACCGCTGCCAGGAAAAGCGCTCACTTGGGACCCCAAACTGCAGCCCAYAAACCGACCTGGCACCCGAAACCCCATGCGGGAACCCGGCACTCCCGCCAGGCACCGCCCGGCGCCCGAGCCACGCCACGCCCCCTCTGGGGACTCCCCGCCCCTCGGAACACGCCTCCTCCAGGAAATGCCCCGCCCGGCGCCCACGCCACGCCCCCTCCGAGACACCCTGGCCTGCGCGATACGCCCCCTCCCGGAAATGCCCCACCCAGCGCCAGAGCCACGCCACGCCCCCTGGGGGCCCCGCCCCGCGCGACACACCTCCTCCCGGAAATGCCCCACCCAGCGCCAGAGCCACGCCCCGGGCCAGCACGCTCCACCTACCGCCCAAGCCACGCCCCCAAAGAGCCCGACTGGAACGGCCTCCCGGGACCCGCCTCCTTAGCAACCGAGGGACTCTTTCACCTTAGCAACCAGCGAAGCTCCCACCATGGCTGAAGACGAATTTGCTGCCCCTCCGGAGAAAGTTATCCGGGTCCAGCGGGTGTTTATAAACCTGCTGGACACCTACAGCAGCAGGAACATCGGGAAGGTGAGCCGCCGCGGCGCAGAGCCAGACCCCTGCCCACGCCAGGCCCCACCCGCCTCCCCTGAGGAAGTCCCACGTCCAGGCCACCGCCAATACCCCCTGGGCCCCAGTTCGCAACTAGGCTAGACATGGGCTCCCAGCTGGAAACACAAGTGTTTGGAGATCACAGGTCCAGTTCTGCTTCCTCCCTGGGAACTAAGGACAAACTGAGGCTCAGAGGGAGAAATGGTCTTGTCCAGGTTCATGTAGAGGATTCGGGGCAGGACCTAGCCTCCTGACTGAGTCTCCTCCCTCCTAATGAGGTTGTCTCTCTATGCTGCCACTGCATCTGAAGCAGGCATGTGATGGAAAAGTTAAGTTCACGAAGCATTTTTCATGAGTCTGGCTCTTTTGTGAGCATGTTATGTAACAGGCACTCTTTGGGCTGGAATACCTCCATCTTTTGTTCTGGAAAATGAAGATATTCAAAAGGAAAACCCAGGGGCCCTTCATCTTAAGTTGGTGTGCTGAAACCAGAAAGTCATGAATCTGTCATTCCCCTTGGTAGGACCCTTTGATCTTAATTGTGCCCTCTGGAGTGACACAGGAATCTAACCTCACCCTGGGAACCTCTGAAGCTAATGATTTCAGATTCAAACAAGACAAAACTGCCTAAAATAGGATGCAGCTCTAGTACCAARTGTCTGCACTGGTTTCCTAGGGCTGTGATAACAAATCACCACAAACTAGATGACTTCAAACAAGAGACTCTATCATCTCACATTTCTTGAAGGGAAGTGCAACATCAAGGTGTCAGCAGGGCTACTTGCTTCTAGAACCTCTGCGGGGAGGGGATCTATGCCACCTTTCTCTCCTGGCTTGTCTGGGAGCCTGCAATCCTTGACATCTCTTAGCTGACAGACCCGTTGCCCCCATCTCTGCCTCATTCCTCACATGGTGTCCTCTGAGTCTCTGTACCCTAATTCCTTCTGATAAGGACAACAGTCATGGGATTGGGGTCCATCCTAATCCAGTATGGATTTAGTTTGACTACATCTGCAAAGACCCTATTTGCAAAGTACACTACGTTAGAGACTGCAGGAGAACAGGAATTTGGAAAGACCATTCTACCGCATTCACCATCTAAAGTTCATGAGTCAAAAACAGAGATTTAGCTACATAATTTATATGTAAAATTTGCATATTTTATAGCATGTAATTATACATCTAAACCATGTGTATGATATATACCTACTATAAGGGATTCAAAACACATGATACATCCTTCAAATTAACAGCAAAGGGGAGCAATAAGGGGCAAGGACACAAGCAAACTAAAACAGTACAATAAAAATTTTCAAAGAAGGGGAGTATTAAAAGGACAGATATAGCTGAGTGCTGTGGCACATACCTGTAATCTTGGCTAACTGGGAGGCTGAGGCAGGAGGATCACAAATTGAAGGCTAACCCCGGCAACTTAGCAAGACCCTGTCTCCAAATAAAAAAATAAAAATTTGAAAAGGCTRAAGATGTAATTTAGGGGTAGAATGCCCCTGGATTCAACCCCTAGTACCTCAAAAAAAAGACAAATATAAGTTGAGGGCATAACTTAGTGGTAAAGCAGGGCTTAGCATGCATAACACCYGCAGTTCCATCCCCAGCGCACATGCACACACGTAAACATGTTCCCTCTCTCTTTCTCTCTTTTTTTTTCTCTCTCTCTCTCAGAAATCTTATTTGTGTTTTTCAAAAAGATAGATATGGAGAATATGGATGGATGGATGGATAGGTAGATAGGCACAGAAAATGTCTCAAAAGCTATACAAGAAACTCAACTATGATCCCTTCTGTTGGATGGGATTCACGCATTCATCAGCACCTATGAAATGCCAGGTACTGTGCTGAGCCCAGAGAACCTGACAGTGAATAAGATTAAAAAAAAAAAAAAAAGGCTACTTGCGTCTGCCTCTGCTGGAAGAAGATAGTAAGTACTATTTTCAGTAAACAAGATAGTTCAATGTGTCCTCTGAAGGAAGAGAAGGTGAGATGACGGTGGTGGGGAGAGCACCTAGTGGGAGCTCTCCTGAGAGCCGCCCAGGCCAGATGAGGGTCCAGCCAGGGAACTGCTCACAGGGCACAGAGAGGGCAATACCTTGGTGGGATGAAGTTAGAGTGTCTGATGTGCTATCTTCTCAAGATGGGCCCACAAGACTTTGGACCCATAAAAGCATTTTAATTTATTTTAAAATCAGCAAATAAAAACCAGAAACAAATGAAATTTTATTCCCAGAGATTATGTTTAGCTTTATAGCATGCTGTCATAAAATATAATATTTAATATATTTTTATGGAGGAAGAGTCCCACAGAARTCAGTCACAATGTGGCCCTTATCAGCTCCTGAGTGACGAACAGTCAGCACTCATAGGTATTTGTGGCCTAAACCAGTGAAGCAGGTTCAGGCACAGAGGGCTAGATATGCAGGGCCTGGCTCGGYAGTTTGGATTGTGTTCTGAATCCCATGGCAAGCCACTGGCATGTATAAAAAAGTCACATGACTGAGGTTAGGAATGAGGGAAGAAAAGCACTTTGACTTTTAGTTCATTCCTTTTGATGTTGACTGTGTTTTACAACATATAATAAAACCTCTGTGGTATGCAAAGATCTTTTTCAAAAGTTTTTCAATAGCAAAATTTTCTGATTAGTCCTTAATGAAGCAGGGAACCCTGCTTCAAATTCCAGGCAATTGCTGTTAATCTGTACTAAACAACATGGCAATGGAAATATGAAACACACAAAAAAAAGAAATGGAGGCTGGGTGCAGTGGCACAGCCTGTAATCCCAKTGGCTCAGGAGGCTGAGGCCCCAGGATCACAAGTTCAAAGACAGCCTCAGCAATTGAGCAAGGCCTTGCCTCAAAATAAAAAGGGATGGGCATGTGGCTTAGTGGTAGAGCCCTTGCCCAGCTAGCAACCCACGATCCCTCTCTCAGTTCTCAGCACCTGAGCCATCATCTTGGAAAAGTTACTTATTGCTGGGCATCAATTTCCTCATCTGTGACATGGGATAATAAAATTGATTATGTATGTTTGAGATACAAACGAAATGTATTTGGGACACTCTCTTCCAATAAGAGGTTGAAGCTAACAACCTGGCATGCCACCTCGCAGTGTTATCAAAATAAATGAGGTGGGACTTGGGTTGGTTTTGTTAGTTTTCATTCCTCAGGTACAGCAATGTCATGATTATTTACAAAGCTTAATATGTAAATTAAAATAAGATTATCTACATCTAACAGGAGATATATATATATATATATATATATATATATATATATATATATAACTCTGAAATGTTGGATAGGCTATCCCAAAGATAGGTTACACTTCAGTGTTTCCAGCGAAAGTGTAAATGCATATCATGTTTTGAAGACGTAGTATTAGAAAAAAAAGAAAATGTCTCATTAATTGTTTTATGTTGATTATATATTAAATTGATAGTAGTTTGGATTTTTATTGGATTAAATAAAGCATTAATTAAATTAACTAATTTCATCTTACTTTTTTTTTCTAAGTGCTGGGAGTTTGAACCCAGGGCCTCACACATGCTAGGCAAGTTAGTGCTCAACCTGTCTCAGCTACATCCCTCCCTAGCTCTCGTTACTTTTTTTTTATGTGACTACTAAAAAACCCTTAAATGGCTCACATCCCATTTCTGTTTCAAGTGGACAAGACAAACATCTTCACTAGAGTCGGCTCTGCCTATTGCTGATGCAGAGAAGTTCCYTGGGTTGGTTATCCAGCTCTGCCAGAAAGTTTCTCATCCAGGGAGTGGGCAATCAGCAGTACCCCTTGGGGGGTCTTTGTGGGCAGGAAGTGCACTGAGATGACAGTCTGCCRAGCACCAGCTTGGCCCTGGTGGCACCCAGCAAGCCCATGGGAAAGACTGGTGTTTGGAACTGCCAGGCATCGACTCTCCTTGCGCTCATGTGCACTCAGAGTTTGGGAATGTGTTTTCCTGCAGTACCTGTCTAACTGCGTCGTTGGAGCATCCCTGGAAGAAATTACAGAGGAAGAAGAAGAGGAAGATGAAAAGCCAGCTGCCCGGGAAGCCTCATCTTTCAGGCTGAAGGAGGGCACCTTCCAGATYGTGGGCACGCTCTCCCAGCCCGAGAGCCCGGGGCCCAACTTTGCGGTGGAGACGTACTCGGTGAGTCGGGGGGCTTTCTCCGTTTCTCAGGGAAGGTCCCCTCCCAGTGCCTCCTTGAGTGTGGCTGCTCTGGGCTTCCCCTTCCCTGTCGCTGCAGGTGCAGGGTGTGCGCGGCAGCAGGATGGTGGCAGGGCTTTTTCGTGAAGTGGCTGAAATTTTTGCCTGAAAAAATAAATTAKATTAGACATTCTTGGAAAGGATGGATCTAATTTGGACTCTCAGGCGCCTAACATTTTTTTATGCTGTGCTTAACCTAACTTCTGCCCTGCRTTACCCACAACCACTCTAAACCATGGCGGCATGACCTTTGGTAACAAGCCACCCAGGAACCATGGACCATGRTGTTGTGTCTTACTGTGAAACCCTATCCCCTCCACGCACACAGTCTACACAGCACTACTCGAGATATCCGAATGCCCTCGAGAAGGGGGCCTCCTCTCCCAGGGGTCCCAGGGGACCCCTCCCACCCTGTCCCACCTGCTGYTCCCTGAACCCTACCATACAGCCTTGAGCACACTGTCCCCAGACCACCTTYCTCCTCTTTCAACCAGCCAGCGCTAGTCTCCTTCAAGATTTAACCCATTACCCCACAAACTTGTAGAATTATTATGTATCGATTAAAAATAAAACTTAAAAATGAATATTGTGCAGGCCACAGTGGCACATGTCTGTAATCCCAGCAACCTGGGACGCTGAGGCAGGAGSATTCCAAGTTTAAGGCCAGCCTGGGCAACTTACTTAGCAAGACCCTGTCTCAAAATAAAAAATAAAAAGGACTGGGAATGTAGCTCAGGGGTGAAGTACCCCTGGGTTTGATTCCGGCATGGCAAAAAACCAACAAAAACCACTGTAACTGCCGTCACATACTCACCCTCTGCCCAAGCTTGCCAAGTTTCTGTTCTCGAGACTAAAAGGCTCAGGGGTYACTCCAGTTGAACTGGGCTAACTGGGCTGCACAAAATAACCACACAAGAGACACAAATACCTTTTTCTTTGGGGTCACTGTGACAGCTCCTCTGACCTTAAGGGTCTATACGGGAAGAGAGAGAGTGAGAGCATGAGCTGACCCCTTTTATTGAGGAGAAGCTATTCAAATGAGGCAAGGGGTCAGGTTTCAGGGGGCTGAGTCTATCTTCATGATGTCCATTGTCAGCAGGTTGACTGACACCTGGGTAGGCCACACCCAAGGGCACAGTAGGAGAAGGGGACACACACAAGGCACTTCCATGGAAGATTCTATCCTAAACAGGGCAAGGGGTTATATTACAAAGCAACAGGTGACCATAGCTCCACCCATGGGGCTGTAGCAAGACACACCCATGCACGAGAGACACCGACCCTGGAACCCAAGAAGGGTGGGGAAAGCTCTGCCACATTTCTGTGACTGAGCGCCTCAGCACCCAGCCGGGGAGTGTGACTCAGTCACATGCAAGATTGGTCTCCCACACAAGCTGAAGGCCTCTGTCGCTGTGGGCTCCTAACCCACCTCTCCTCCCTCAGCCCACTGGGCATGGTCCTTGGCCACCTTTGAGAGCTCCCAAGCCTCCCAACTGGCACTCGCATGCATTCAGATCCCAGGGCTCTCGTGTGCCCCCAGATCTGACTCAGTGAATGTGCACGGAGCAGACCCAGGGTCCATAGATAGAGAGCTCACAGCCCAGCAGGAGCTCCACAGCAGACCAGGAGCTAGGTGCCCCAGGGGCACACACAGCAGCACCCTGAAGGTCAAGAGGACAAGCTCTGGCGTGATCCACAGACAGACAAATGCAGCTTCAGATCCCAGACAGTGAGGCCCCTCACTCCCCCTGACCTTCTGATCCAGGAGCCTCCTGGAGATGAGGCTGGGCCTCCAGACTGAGTCAGGCTTGCCAGGCAGATGAGGGGGAAAGAAACAACCCAGAGTATCGTGTGCTTTCAACTAGGAAGAGCCAGTATAGCTAGTGCCCGGGTTGTGGGGAGCCAGTGGGAAGAAGCAGAGTGACAGAAAAGGGAAGGGGAGTTGAGCATGGAAACGTGGAGCTGGTCCATGTTGTGAAAGGTGCCTCTATTTGGTTGGACAACGTGGCACATGCTTGTAATCCCGCAGCTCAGGAGGCTGAGGCAGGAAGATCATGAGTTCAAAGCCAGCCTCAGCAAAACTGAGGCGCTAAGCCTCTCAGTGAGACCCTGTTTCTAAATAAAATACAAAACAGGGCTGGGGATGTGGCTCAGTGGTCAAATGCCCCTGAGTTCAGTTCCCAGTACCAAAAAAAAAAAAAAAAAAAAAAAAGCCTCTATTTGGCAAATCACCTGCTGTTCCCTGGGCATTCCAAATTCTGCCAGTGAGCTCATATTTGCCCCTCCAACCCAACTCAAATGTCAACTCCTATGAGACATAATCACATCTTTCTCAAGTTCACTGAATCTCAAATGTTCCTCTAAGCCCCTTTCACACACTTAGGATTGCCACGGGAARCTATGCAGGTTGTGCACCATACAAGGATGATGCTTGGCTGAGGGAGTGAGTGGGGGCCTGYAAAGCAGCCTGTTCTGCTGGCCGCACTATGCCCCAGATGAAGGCCTTCTTATAAGTATTCCAAGAGCAGGCTGCCATTTGCTTAGTTGAGTCCAGGTCTTTTATTTGCTAAAAATTTCCCCTAAAACGCACACATAYACATGCACATACATGATGCCCTTAATATTAGCAACCAYATGCATTTATAACCATTAATTATTTTGCCTCTATCCTAGGGCCAAAAGAAGAACCACAGATCTCTGTCAGGTGAACAAAGGGATTCAGGAATGTGGGTTAGGACAATAACTCTCTTGAAAATGTACCTATTTGATCCTGTATAGGTCTGACCATATTTATTTGTTTATCTTTGGTACTGGGGATAAACCCAGGGTGCTTAGCAAGATCCTGTCTCAATGTAAAATATATAAAAGGTCTGCGGATATAGCTCAGTGGTCTGAGCTATATCTGCAGCCTTTTTTTATATTTTATATTGAGACACGATCTTGCTAAGTAACTTAGGGCTTCACTAAATTGCTGAGGCTGGTCTCAAACTATCAGTCCTCCTGCATCAGCCTCCCAGGTAGCTGGGATTAAGCCACCATGCCCTGCTAGTTTCCATGTTTTTAAAATAGTTCCAACTATCAAGTGTAATAAGGTACCTTACGTCCAGATTCTTTCCATCTTGAGGGTTCCCAATAATTCAAACCAATTGCTCACAGCACTTTTAAGTGATTCCTGATACGTAGCTGCTCAAATAATCTCGCATGGGGTTTGAGTCGCTTTTCAATGTTCACTCGTGGTCCTCCAACATGGTCTGAGCTGGGGTGGGAACGGCATGCAGAGGGAGGACCTGAGATCATTGCACCATTTTTAATCACCTGTTCCAGGCTGTTTCCTCAGACTTCTTTGTCACTTGAAAACTCCACACAGAAAGGAGCCAAATGTTCATGTTACATCCAAATCCTTCTGCAAATGTTTCCCGTGGTACTTACTCCTCCAGGCAGCCTGATCTGGAAGTTGCCATCCTGTCTAAATATCAAGGTCACCGTGTTAGCTCTCTGCAAGAGACTGTCACTTCTCTTTCCAGACCATCTCCAGAGAAGACCTTCTCCTGCGCCTGCTGGAGTGTGACGTGGTCATTTACAACATCACTGAGAGCTCGCAGCAAGTGGAGGAGGCTGTGTGGGCAGTGTCCGGTCAGTGAGGGGCACTCTTACCTCAGCAGCTCATCTTTTATTGACTTTTTTTTTTTTTTTTTTTGAGCTGCTGCGGATTGAACCCTGGGCTCAAGAATGCGTGGCAAGTGCTTTGACACTGAGCGCCACCCCTGGTCCCTGGTCTCTTATTTACACTTTATAGTTGTAAAGGGCATTATTTTTGTGCATGTTTCTTTGTCTAAGAGTCATCTAATGAACATTAGATAAATTAGGGCCACGGGAAAACTGACTTACCTAAAGTATGCAATCGGTGCTACTGACTATGTCTGTGGAATTGGTTGTAAGCCAACTGCTCTGTGGGTGTAGGAAAAAGAAGCTGTAAATAGCATGTAMGTGAATGGACTGGGTTCCAAAAAAGTTTATTTATAAAAACAGGCAGTACTTTGCCAACAGTTTAATTCAATCAATAGCAAAACTATTTTTTGGCTAAATTCAAGGAAATAGAATGGAACCTAGGAATGACTGTACATATTCAGGAAAATGATGGATTTGTGAAGCTTGGAATGTTCAATTTCTCACTTACAACTTTATGCCTAAATTTTGTTCAGTGAGGCATAAATCAAAAACATGAGTGTTGTCATCTTTTGGAACAGAGCTTGCTTAAGCCCTACTCTCTGCATTGTGCCTCCTCTCTACATTGTGTCCCCTAGCAAATACTTACAGATGATATATTATTGTACCATCTGAAATAATAATTGGAGCTAATGGTTTTGAGCACTTRTTTTGTGCTAGGTTTGAAAAATTGATTTTTCTTATAATGCATGCTTGTAATTTTCTTTAAATTTCTAACATTTTTTTTCTGAAATAAAATCTAGATGTTTTCAGAACTATAAAGCACAGTAGAGCTTAGAATAAAGCAACAATTCCCTGCATTTCCTTTCTACTCTGTCCCTACTTTCCCAAAGTGACTTCCTGCTCAAGGCCCCGGGTTCAATTCTCAGCACCTGGAGGGAAAAAAACAGCCTGTATGGATGTTTTCCATTGCTGTGCTAAGAAAAACAATTTACAGGTTTAGTTTGCTTCACAGCTTCAGAGGTTTCAGTCCAGGTTGGAGGCCCTGTTGCTTTGGGCCTGTGAGGAGGCCGGTCATAAGGTGGGTAGTGCCAGGGGAGCAGCTCACCTCTTGGGGAAGCAGAGAGGAGGGGCCAAGATCCCTGTCAAGGACACGCCCCCAGGGACTGCTCCCTTCCACCCATTCCCCACCCCCAGAGTTCCCACTGCCTCCCAAGGGTGCCATCAGCTGGGGACCAAGCCTTCAGCACTAAGCCTTTGGGGGACACTTGAGATCCAAACAGCAGCAGCCGTTGGGACAGATGTGCATCCCCCTCCCTTAGGACCTCTCCACAGCCTCAGGGGAATCCAATCACTTCTCAGACTTTGAGACTCCTCCCTGCYGTCAGCTGTAGATCATGGAGTGGTTTCACAGGGTCTTCTTCATCCTGATTTACATAATCAGGAAAATTTTACTTCTCCTTTTGGAGGAAGAGCTTTGACTGAATCGCATTGTTTTTGAGCCACAGGGTGACTGTGTGCAGGAAAGTGTACTCAGGGACCCTTCCTCTCTTGGCAGTCACCTGGGGGCTGTGGGCTGGGGGAACAGCAGTGGGGACTTTGTCACTTAGGCGCATTCTTAGATTTTGCTTTTCTTACAATAGATACATATAACTTTTAACAATGTTTTATTAACTTAGGTTTTAAATTTTCAGAATTCTCCTACCTCGCCTATCCCCTATAGGCAGGCAAGAGGACGCAGGAGAGCAGGGTAAATTATCAGAAATGAGAAGAAAACATTTACATATTTGCATAAATGGTGTGTTCAGAAGGAGAAAGCACATCATTTCARACCTGCTGTAAATATCATAAATAGAAAGGGCCACCCAGTTAGAGGACCTCAAAGTGTGTCAAGTGTTCACAAAATAGGCCGATCGGAAGCACAGCCGAGCRTAAAGGTCAAAAGAGCAAAACGAGGTTGAAGAGACAATCTTTTTTTTTATTAGAATAAAAATAGAAACTAAAATTAGCATTGGAACTTGGGAAAAATATGTGAAACACAATGTCCTTAAGCTTGATTCATTAAGACTTCCCCACGTTGGGGTGGGAAGCCACACGCCTTCTCCTTCAGGATGTCACCATGTCCTTGTTTTCCTAGCTCTTTGTTTAGTGAATCACTTTATGAGACTGAACCTGTATCTTCTAGACCCTCTGACAACCCAAGTAGACCTCATTTTAAGGCTTACACCTTTTTCTGGAAAATTTACAAGATGAAGASTATTTTAGTGGAATCGCTTGCTACATGCATTCACGGAGGCGCAGTGCCTAAATGTGTGACAAAACCATGGCAGGCAGCAGTCACCCTTCCATCCATATCTGCAGGGGTCGGGGCATAGCCCARCAGGCCACTGCCTGGATTGCACCGCCTGCCCCAACACTTCCCTCCATGATTCAGGGCAGACTGGGCCTCGGGTCCTGAATCTGTAAAACAGAGATGATATCAGGACCTGTCTCACAGGGTAAGAATCCAATAAAGCCCATGAACTGTCCCAATTCATGTCAGCCAGGATTATTCCCATCCCTCCCCCAAGTAAGTGAAAACCCTGATGAGAGACAGTTCTGAGATCCCTAAACTTAATTACGAAGGGCAGAGGGGCAGGGGAGAGAGGAAGGGACTGCAGTCAGTTAGCAGCTACCTGCTCCACACTCCTGGATGTATGTTCCACCCCTGGACCTGACCTCAGGTGCCACTGCTGCCTTCTGGGTACATATAAACTTTCTGGACTACCAGCCCCAACCAATCCAGAAGCAGCAAGTTCTCCTTATGGACTGTCCTCCTATCCCCACTGGCATTTCCTGGCCCCTCTTACCCAGCACCAGTGTGGCCTCCGTGTCAACAGCTTATGCTTTTCTTCCCCAGATTCTCACCGTAGTGCGCTTGGCTTTTGGGTCAGGTGGAGACATTTCCAACCGCCACCCAGTGTTCAGCTTGCTGTAGCAGAACGTGTCCCAGGATCTGTTCTAGCTAGTTCCTGGAACGGTTCAATAAACCCTCGATTTCAGAACTTCAGTCTCAAGAGTTTGGGTTTAATAGCACACAGGACGTGGGAAGGGGTTAAACTTTTGAGCTGAGCCCAGACGGGATCAGGCAATGGGAGGGGGGATTGGGGAGAAGACAGATGGGGATGGAACAGTGAAACCTCAGAGGTGACCCCCCTGGAGCTAAATTGCTCGCTGAGGAAGAAACCTCAAGCCCTCCCCCCCCCCCATATCTAATAGTACGTGTGATTGCTAAAGCAAATCCTGCATGGGTCCAAATAACTGCTCTGCTTTTTGGTCCTGCAGCGCTGAGTGAAGAAGTCAGCCATTTTGAAAAAAGAAAGGTATTTATTCTGCTCTCCACCGTGATGACTTGGGCACGATCCAAACCTCTGGACCCAGTAAGTAGAACTTCAGCTTTCCTTTAGGTAACCTTTCACCTCAAGGCCTTACTGGCTACATATGGAAGGAGCTTTGTACAGTGAGCTGTGCTTTCTTACTCCTGTTGCAGGTGTGCAGCTGAATCTAGTGCTTCTAAGCACATTTGGTTGGTTCTGCGGGACTCCATTGGTTTACAGGACACAGAGGATTCTAAAATGCTACCTTGTAAGCTGTGGTCAGGCACTGCATAACGGTGTTTGGTCGTGGAGGGACACATCCGTAGGGTGGTCCAATAAAGTTGTAATGGAGCAGGGACATTCCTGAGGTCCTGACACAAGGCGCCGCTCATGTGTTTGGGTGATACAGTGCAGACCAACCAACCTCCTGAGCTACCTGCTGTGGAGAAGTGTAGCACCTTGTGCATGGTTCTCGATAATCAAGACCCTGCTACTGGTTTATGCATTTCCTGTGCTAYACTCTTTGTTGTTAGAGTGCCCTCCACCTTTCTGAAAAAGGAAAGGTTCAATGTCAAACAGCAGGCCCTGTTACGCTGGCAGCCCTCACATATCTCGTTTGCCAGCTCTTGATTTAATCCCAAGTTGTTTTGTTCACCAAAAATCCACTGCTGATGTTGACAGGAAGAGGTCAGGTCAAGTCATGGACCTGGAAACAAAATGTAAGGTGATTAAGGACTGCCAAGTGGACACTCAGTGATGGTCATTCGCATAGTCAGGCGCGTCCCGCTTCGCCACGGCTCTGATCTTGAAGGAGAACCAACTGACGGGAGCCATTAAAGGGTCTGCTTCTCTGTGGGCAACAACCAGAGGAGGGCCSGTATCTGACCTGGAGGACCTCTGGGACCCGGACGGAGCGAGGTCAGACACAGAGGCGCATCCCCCTCAGCACCTCGGCATCACAGCCAAAGCCAACGGTTTGTGGTGATGAGAGACCCGACTGCAGTGGTGAATTCCTGCTGGCTCTGGGTGGTGTCAGTGACTCAAGGGTTGTCATTCATTACCCAGTGTGAAAGTGAACGTTGAGTCTCAAGGGTCACTTGTTCAAGATCTAGCATGATGGAGGGTGTGGAGGAGGAAAGCAGCTCAGGACATGGCAATCAGGAAGCAGAGAGGCTTCTGCTCTCCCGGAACAAAATACAAACCGCAGCGTCACACTGCCATGACCTGTGTCCTCCAGCCACACCTGCTTGCAGACACCACCCAGTTAACCCCTATCAGGGGATTAATGCACGGATTAGGTCAAGACTCTCATAACCCAATTGTCTTACCTCTGAAAATTCTTACATTGTGTCACACATGCTTTCAGAGCCTCTGCTCTTCTCTGCTGCTATCTCCTCGTGATCATCCCGTGAAATTCTAACAATCTTGGGAGCCAGTTCTAAGGAGGAGTCGCCTCATATCTAAACTATAGCAGTCCCCTACAAAACCATCATTGACCGGTGGACTGGCTGACCATCCTGCAGTCTTCCTGACTGTCCCCATTGACTTCGGCAAAGTGGCAAGTTGACTGACCCAGAGAGTGGCTGAGTCCAGTGACTGCCTACAGGCACAGCTGGACCTCCAGGCTGGAGCCACGTGCTCAGAGCTTGCCCTCTTCCACGGCTTCTTTCCTCCTCAGAGCAGGCTTCCTCCGCCAGTCAGCTCCCTGCTCCTTCTGACTCCCAGSGGCCCCTGGGTGGGCCTCCCTAGAGCTTCCATTGACTTTCCTCTTAGGTCATGTCTTATGCCAGGACTGGAATATGCTCTTTGGCCAGGTCTTAGGTCACAGCCTACCCTTGAACTAATCTCTGTGGCCAGGGGAATACAGTGGTCTGATCTCCAGACCAGGGATCCTATAACTCCTTGTAGACCAGGGAGGATCAGTCCCCTGAGCTAAAACGACCAAAAGTGAAGAATTATTGATTCCCCAGAGAAAATATGGAGAAACAGCTCCTATGTTGGCTCCGGAGTCCTCTGGCCCCACCTTGCACTGGTTTCCGTTGTGTTTTCCTAGTGGCTAATGGTGATTTTAAAGATCACGTCTACTAAGGTGTACATACATACAGTAAGTTGACCCCCTTCCTGCACAGCACTGGGTTTGGACAAACGCCTGATTGTGCACATACACAGCAGTCAAGGCACAGAACACTCCCTTCAGCCCTCCCGAACTCTCCCTCTCTCCGCACAAAAGGTCAGTCCAAGGTGGTCACATAATTAGAGTAAAAAGCAAAACTTTAGTTTTTAAAGAAAAGTTATAGAATTTATATGGAAGGATTTCTTAAACAAGTCTTAATAATTTAAATATTTGAATAATTAATAAATTTAGCTACAATAAAACTGATAACATGTTCATGGATGAAATGATACTATATCTGAGCTTTGCTTTTGAAATGAGGGCGGGGGTGGGTTAAAGGTGGAAAACATTGGCTACACAAAGCAAGCATGTCTGTCCCCATGAAGTCAGCAGAAGAGCAGGTGGCAGAGGAAGATGTGGCTTCTGTCTGAAATCAGGACGAGCTGAGGAGGACCATCGGTTAGGGCAGTCCAGTTGGAGTCAGTTTAACAGAAAGAGGAAGCTGTTGCAAAGACATGAACAAAGCCTTATGATCCAGGGACAGAGCTGCCACAGGGGATAGGGACTGGGGACGTCTGGGAACTCAAGAAAGCCTCAGCTCTTTTCTGCTTCTGTCTCCTTGTGATCATCCCAGGAAATTCTAACAGTCTTGGGAGCTGGTTGTAAGGAGGAGTCGCCAGTATGATGAGCTGGAAAAATCATTGAAACTCATGAGCTTATGGAAGATACCTCAACCCTGCCACTCTGCACAGTAGCCCCCAGCAGCCCTCTGGGCATCACCGGTGCACAGATGGTAATCGTGGACTCCCTGGGCCAAGCCTAGTAGCTCTGGGATTCTGTGGCAGGCAGTCAGTACCTGCCGTGGCTTGGTAAATGTCTGGATGGGCCTGGAATGTTCTGGTGGTGCTGGAAAGCCCAGATACCTCCAGAGCTGTCCTGGGAGTGCTGGGGAGACAAAGGTTGTGAGATGCCAAGTTGTGAGAAGTGGAACCTCATGGTAGGTCTGTGCACTGGATGTTGTCCACCTGCCCCTCCAAAGCACCCTGTCCCTGACTGTGAAGCCTACAGCAGCAGGCAGCCTTGTCCTGGGCTCCCACCTCTGTCTGGCCAAGGGACACACTGGCCAGAGGAAGGAAGAAACAACAACAATGAGTCAGGGTATCTGCTCGCCCAGTGCCCTTCTGCAGAGTTGCTGCTGGTGGGCTGTCCCTCATCAGGCTGCTGTTCCTGTGGCACCCAACTTTGTCACCAGGCTCTAATCACTTGCTCCTTGACACTTTCAGACTTAGGAGTGGTACAGAGCATCATGGTCATGGCTACAGGCATGGGGCTTCCCCTGCCTCCTGCCCACATCTTCCTTAATAGCCCTGTTGTTAAACTGCACTCAGATGCCCATGCGAGAAGGTATATGCTTTCCTGCCAGGACCCTGGTGTACCGTGGTTCATTGGAGTCAGAGGACTGTGCCAAGTCACGACTGCATCATGCCACGCGGAAGGGAAGGGGGAACGCAGGGCCATGTGGATGTGACTGGCTTCCTGTCAGGTAGTCACCATGCCATCCTGGCCAGCAGAGCCTGGATTTGTTCAGATGTCCACACTATCCATAGACCCAAGGAAGGGAAACTGCCCCAGCTCCCAGCTGATCCAGACCCACCATGATGGTCCATTCTTCTTGCCAACAACTGTTTAAGGGGTGGACAACAACTTGATTCTGAATTGTTAGGATGTAACAAACCAACCCCCCAAAATGCAAAATGGCTTAAACATGGTGGAAGTTTTTGCAGTACTGGGGATTGAACCCTAGATCTCAGCCATGCTAGTCAAGTGCTCTACCACTGAACTACAATGCCCACACTGTTATTTTGTGGTTTTGTTTTGTTTTGTTTTTTGAGACAGGCTCTCATTAATTTGCCAAGGCTGGCCTCAACCTTGCAATCCTCCTGCCTCAGCAGGATTACAGGTGGGCACCACTGCACCCTGCTGGAAATTCATTTCTTGCACATGTGAAATGTAAAACAGGTGCCCCTGATGATTATTTCTCCTTTGAACTCTGACTGGGGACTGGGGCTCCTTCAGCTGGCTCAGCCACTTTCCAGAAGCCTCCCAGGCTGTGTAGAGCCACAGGGAACTTTATGAACCAAGCTGGGTCAAGGTGCTCATTACTTCTGTGAATCCTTGTGACCTCGACCTACCCACCTGAGCACACCTGCTGCAGGAGAGCCAGGGTGTGTGGTCTAGCCATGTGCTGGGAGACCAGCAAGGTCCAGTCTCAGCACAGGAAGCCAGCTGAGACTCTGGGTATGGCTCCTCCTTGATTAACGGAGTCCTCTGTGAGGATGCAGTCCTTCTCCTTTGCATGGGGTCTCTCTCATCCAGCGAGGAGGTCCACAGAACAGGGTAGAGGAGAGAGTGGCTGCAAAGTCACAAATCAAGACCTCAGGAGACCAAGCAAAAAGCAGGTCTGATTTTATTGTGCAGTTACCATGTATATATGTTTAGGCAGTAGGTGAGCAGATTACAGGCAGCCACCAATGCAATTTCTGGCCAACTGTCCTTGAGGTGACCAACGGAGGAGCGGACTATGGAACAAGTGATGGGATCACAACATGTGGCCTCACACCCAGGGCTGTGCCTACAGGATAAGTGGTTTGCCACTCACATGCCCAGCACAAGGAGAGTGGTTTCCACTCAGGTGCCCTTAATGTGTGCCATGTATGCAGTACTGCATGCACTTGTCCCCACACTCCCTCTGCGGACCTTCTAGGTCTGCCTGTGGAGCTTGGACCTGCTGCTGCCCTTCTGCTGCCAGGGCATGGCCACCCCCATAGGGAGGTGGAGCCAAGGGTGCAACCGAAAAGCAGAGCCAGGCCAGCCCATGGTGCCCAGAGTCGCCCATGTATGGCAGAAAATGAGTTTCCTGGTGCTTTGGCCATTTCCAACTTGCTTGTATGTGATTTACAGCCCAAAGCATCCAAACAAATACAAAACTATGTAAAATCAGTTTTGACACAAAAGGGTGAATATGACAAAATGTTTGATTTGTATTGATTTCAATAAGTAAGAGAATTTCAATATATACTGGGGTTGTTTTTTCCCCCTGTCATAACTGTTTCTGAAGTCTGTGTGTTCTTGTTTCTGTATGGGTGAGTGAAAACAGGAAAGCAGAGGTGACCCTGATGAACCAAATAGTCCAGAGTAAGAAAAACTGACAGGCTCTGGCTGACACAAATAATGGCCACTTAGGATAAGTATCCAGCATGTGACTCACATGGGTGGTCACAGTCAGCCACCCTTTAGAAAGGAGATTGTCAAGTGGGGTACTCGGGTGTCATCCCAGCTAGTTGGAGGCTGAGGTGGGAGGATTGCTCAAGTCCCTAGCCTAGGCCACATAATAAAATCCATCTCTTTATGAAAAAAAGAAAAGTGAAATGTACTATGTTGTTATTGCCGTAACAGTGACCATTAAGGACCAAAAGAACCCAACCCAACAACTGGTAGCAAAGGTTGAAAATGCACGACCAGGTCTCCTCACAAGCAGGAAGAGAGAAATGACCACTCAGAATCTACAGTCCTGGTTGATTTGAATTTATGGGCTGCAGTGCGGCTGGCCAAAGAAATTCATCTCCCTTTTCTTTAATACAAGCCTATGGCCAGGCCTGGGGATGTGGCCTAGYGGAGGAACACTTTCCTGGCAGACATCTAAGAGCACAGTAAAACAAAACCCAAACAAACAGGGCCTGCCTCAGAACCTTGCAGTTCACCTTATAAAACTGCAGCCATGGGACTGAGGGTGGGTCAAATCCCACAAGGAGGGGTGTCACAGGCAGAGTCACAGGGAGCAGAGGAGAGTCCCTCAGGCAGGCTGGCCGCTGTGTCGTGTTATCCAGGTCTATGGAGCTACCAAGTTGATTTCATCTCCAAGGCAAAGCTGATCACACTGTTTCCAGACCCCATGTGGGTAGGGTTGCCAGAGTCAGGAAATAAAAATATAAACAAGGGCACTCAGTTAAATTTGAATTTAAGATAAGCAACAAGTGATTTTTATCATGAGTCTTTTTTTTAGTGTAAGTATTAAAGACCTACTTATAATAGAAAATCATTCATTTTTGTGAAATTCAAATTCAGCTGAGTACTCTGTATTTTTCTGGCAACCCAATTTGAGAGGGTGGATAATCTGGAGCTGGGGATGTGGCTCAGCGATAGAGCACCTGCCCAACAGACTTAGGCCCTGGGTTTGACCCCTAGCACTACAAAAATGAAATGAAAAGAAATGAAGTTTAAAAAGAGGACATCTGATCATTCAGTACGTATTCATCAAATTTCTACTATGTGCACAGAATTGAGGTGGTTTAACTTGATCTTCCTCTCAAAAGCTGTCTCTCTCTCTCTCTGCCCCCAAGGGCATCCCCATTATCAGTGTTCTAACCTCATTTCCAACCTTCCGCCAGTCCATCAGGAAAYGCCATTAACTCGTCATCCAAATTATATCAGAAAGCCATCTAGTTCTCTTTGTGTCCTTGGCAACTTTCTGGCCCAAGCCTTCTTAGCTTCCTGGGCTACTTAAAATTGCTGTGTGGCTGTTGCCTACCATCGACTCTTCTGGGCCATTCTCCAYGATATAGCCTAAGAGATCTTGTTAAAATATAATTCAGATCATGTTGCAGTCCTGCTGAGAAAGCTTAAAACCATTCAATATCCTCTGTCACTCTCAGAATAAACCTCAACTACTAACATGGCCATAAACCCTGATAATCCGGCTATTGCCTGCTTAATCCTCTGCCAATTCCCAGTTTGGCTCTAGCCATCTGAGTCTCCTCCCGTCTCTCCCGCGGGTGTGCAAGTGGGCTTCTACAGCAGGGCGGTCACCTGTTTCTTATGTTCCTTTGGATGTATTCCTCATACGTTCTGGGCTCACGTGCTTTGGATTGGTTATCTAATTTAGATCAATGGACTATCATAAAGATCATAAAGTACAATGCATTTTTAAAGAGGACCTCGAAGTCTGGAGAGATGTTTGGGAAGTTGCATGACTCTCAGTTGTTCCTTTTGAGTCCCCAGGAAGCGGGTGGTTTCAGAGGCATCCCTCTGAGGCCTGCACCCTGAAGAGGGTGACTGTGGAGGGGCTGAAGGTGCTGAACATGTAAAGTAGACTGTTAGATTTTTCTGATCCATGAGTTCCAGGATGAACTGATACTTCATTTTATATGGGATGGAGGCAGTTTATAAAGCCCGAGACTGAACTTTACACACGTAATGTTACTATTAACATGTGATTGCGGAGAGGGGAGAGGCGTGTGGACAAGAAGGGGAAAAACATGATCTAAGTTAAAAATAAGGGTTGGGAATGTCGCTCAAAGTTGGAGCACTTGCCCAGCACGTACAAGATCCTAGGTGCTGTCCCCAGCAGCATGGGCGGTGGGGGTGTACATTAGATGGACTAGTGAGAAAGGATTTAATACCTTATGGAATCCCAGTAACAACCTGCCACTGTCTCTACAAAATAAAAGACATGTAAAATTTTAATTTGCTGAGATTAAACTTAAATTATTAAATTTGCAGCCTAAAGCGTTCTCAAGAAATGAAATCACTGTTAAAAGAAACAGCAGTGGGCTGTGGATATGGCTCGGTGGTAGAGTACTTGCCTGGCATGCATGAAGCCCAGATTCCATTCCCAGCACCACAAAAAATAAAAATAAAAATTTAAAAAGCAGGATTTTTTTGTTTGTTTTAAAATAATACATTTTTAGTTTTATAAATTTGACGATAATAATTATACATACTTATAGGGTACATTTTAATAACATCTATACAATGTAATCAGATCAGGGTAATTGGAATATCCATCACTTTACACATTTATCACTTGTGTTGGGAATGTTAAAATACTTACTGTTCTGAAATATACAATTGCTGTTGACCACAGTTACCCTACTGATGAGCAGTAGTTTTAAGCTTTATTTGAACTTAAAAGAACACATCTCTGGGCTGTGGAGCTCTGCAGAGCTCATATATACTAGGTCTGCACCTTTTCTCTCTCGTAGGATGATTCTGAGGTCCCATTTACTGAAGAGGATTATCGAAGAAGAAAGCATCATCCCAATTTTACAGACCACATCAATGCTGAAAAAATGGTTCTCAAATTTGGAAAAAATGTAAGTATGGAGTCATAGAACATTTAGGGTAGAAAAAGGGTTTTTTGAGGCAGTGTACCTGGGCTGCTTCCTCCTCACTCATATTTACTCAACCTGGTTAAGGTAATATTTTACTGCTTTGAGTTCTGTCTGCACAGCTGGAAATGCTCCTGGCTTTATTCACACCATCACGATTCTTTAAACACCTTTGTTTTAGTTTCCTTGTATTTACACCCACAGATCTCTCAGCTTCAGGTTCACCCCAAGATATACTGTCCTTAGGGTGCTGGCCCAGGCTCTCAACTAGCCCACTGAAGTAAAGCCCTCACCCATCAAGGGGTCTGCACATCCCAAGGGTCCCCTGGTCCAGAAGATGCAGATAACTCAGTTGGAATGGAAAAGAGGGGAACTACATTGTCTCTGATCCCAGAATCTATCTCATTTGTTTCTTAAAACAATTCTGAAAAGTGTGTATTAACTTCATCTTGCAAATAAAGAGATGGCACCTTCCAGGGGTTAACTAGGATTTGCCAAGCCATCCTGGGCACTGCTCTGCCTTGTCTGATCTACCCCTTACAACAGTGGTATTGTCCACGGACACCACTGTCCCCTTCATGGATGCAGACACCATGGGAAAGTGGTGGGGCTGGGATTCAAACTGAGACCCATCAGACAACAGGCCTATGGATTTGCTTTTATTATTTCCCCCTAACTCCAAAACTCTATCATCCATAGAGTTAATCTTGACACATCCACAGTCACTCACTATTAAAACATACTGAAGGCTGAGAAGTTTATGTAAACAATAATAAGAGCTTATTAGAGCTGGGTGTTATTCCATGTAGAACACTTGCCTTACATGCACAAGGCCTGGGTGCCATCCCCACTACCAAATAATAATAATAATAATAATAATAGCTTATTAGCCTTCTGTTGCAACAAATGTATCATTTTTACATATATCTATCATAAAATTATTTTATTTTTCTTGTCTTTTATCATCATAAAAGGTGGAATACCCTGGTAATGAAGAAGCAGTAATAGCTGAGAAGTCATTAGGGGCTTAGCTTCCAGGACCACATGTGTAATTTACAAAATTCTGTGAAGTAGGTGCTTCTATCATCATCCCTATTTATCTTATATGGAACCCCAAGAACCTCTAAGGATTTCATTACATTTTTCCCACTTCTAGACCCACAGTTAAGTGATGAGGAATAATAGTTCTAAGGTGACACCTAGTGGTCTTGGAATATATTACAACAGAAGTTCAAGTGTCCTCAGTTCTGGCTGACTATAAAAAACACATTGACATTAGCAATGAATTAGGAATTCAATCCCCTTTTCTGTCCACTAGCTTATGACCATTATCAAGTCATTAAACTTTTGGGGTTATGATGTCTTTTTTTTCTAACTGTTGGGAATTAAAGCCAGGACTTTGCACATGCTAGACAACGTTCTACCACTGAGCCACATACCCACCCCATAACTTCTGGGGTTAAAAWAAATAAAGTAAAGGGGCTAGATTAGATGTTCTAATAGTCTTCCAGTGCCAAATTCCATAACTTTATTGTTTTGTTAAAATTCATGATTGTTGACCATTTATGTCTAATTCATTAGTTTAAAATAAATGATCATATGCAAAAACTAGTTGTCTGAAGTAAAGAAATATCATCATCTTATTATCATTAATATTTATTATAAAAATCAAACACCTTCAAATAATAAAATCTATTCTTTTCATCTCCAGCTTTATTTATTTCCTTCTGTTTTTGTTTGTTTTGTTTTTTGTTTTGTTTTGTTTTGTTTCTTCTCCCAGTGCTAAGGATCAGCCCAGGGCTTTATGCATGCCCGTCAAGCACTCCACCACCAATCTACATCGAAAGCCCAATTTTTTAATATCTTTTATAAATGCACTATTTTTGATCTCAGTCATTTGCCAACTAATTGTCAAAAACCAATTAAGAATTAATACCGTAAATCAAGGTGGGCATGATGGCACACAACTGAAATCCCAGCAGCTCTACAGGCTGAGACAGGAGGATCACAAATTCAAGGCTAGACAGCAACTTATCGAGACCCTGTCTCAAAAAAAAAAAAAAAAAATAGAGATGTAGCTCAATAGTAAAGATCCCCTGGGCTCAATCTGAAGCGCACACACACAAAACAAAGAAGAATCAAGAATTGTCRACCTGATAGAATGTTGTAGAATAATGTCTGATGCTAATAGTTTTCCCACTGTCTGGGTTACACAGGCCTAACATAGAAAAGGCCCCTGTGTCTGTGGATTATGAAAGATTAGAATTGCTTTTTTGTTTGTTCTATTTGTATTTTCTATAATCAATCAGTTATTGGTACATTTTAGGAGTTTTCTCTCTAAGCAAGTACAGGATAGCTATTGAAAGGCAGAATAGGGCTGGGTGGCTCAGTGGTAGAGCACTTGCCTAGCATGTGTGAGGTACTGGGTTTGATTCTCAGTACTTCATATAAAAAATAAATAAAATAAAGATCCATAGACAACTAAAATTTAAAAAAATTTAAAAAGAAAGGTAAAATAGAAATATTTGTAAACTTGATTTGACTAGAATGTTCAATATGTGTATTCCTGATTTTGCATTCTTTGATGACATTAGCACAGAAAAGAAAATGAAACATCTCTCCCATAACATGGTGCGTGTAACCCACCAGGATTCCCAAAGTTTCACCAAAATTCAAACAAGCCAACCAGACTTTAACTTTCTGATACCAGCCTAAAATGAGGCTAGCCTTTCTTTCTTTCTTGTTTCTCCCCACCACCACCGCCACCATTTATTTAGCTGTTTTTTATTTTGTGTGTGTGTGTGTGTGTGTGTGTGTGTGTGTGTTGGGGTGGAACCCAGGGCCTCACACCTGCTGGGCTGGGTCTCTCCGCTGAGCCACACCCACAGCCCCCACGACTCTTCCTTGCCCATCGAAGTCACAGGAAGGGAAGTGCTCAGAGTCATCATCTGCTTGAGGCCCAGTACTCCATGCCATCCACCCTCAAGTCTTCTATTCCTCTTCTCTAAAGGGTCCTCTCTCCCCAGCAGACCCCCTTCAAGCCCTTAGTTCAAGCAAAATACTGGTATGTGTCTTTTAAAGTACAGTGGGGGTCATCTGAACCCTAACTTCAGCCTGCTCAGTTCCCAGCACCTTTTCCCAAACCATAGTCTCAGACCAAAGCGACCCATAAAAGATTCAAAACATCCTAAAATAAAGCTGTTAACGAGAATGTTTTACTGAAACCAATTTCCTCCTTAAACATTTTATCAGAAAGAATGAGTGAAAAAAAAGAGCATTTTTTCCCACATTTTTGGTTGGTGCATTAGAGTTGTACACAGTGGTAGGATTGGTTGTTGATATCTGCACATGCACACAATGTAACAATGTGATTTGTCCAATATCACCCCCCAGAACATCTTCCCCAAAAGAGCATTTTTTAAACTTGCATTACCCCCACACCCATGTTTAGAATCTTCCTCAGTTTTATCCCTTCTGTTTTGAGCCCTCTCCCATCCCCTAAATTTTCATCTGCACTCTCCCACCCAGCCCCTAAAACCTCAACAGTTATTTAATTTCTTCCCAGAAAGCAAATGCATGCCCATCTAGTTGGGGCTTGAGAGGATCTGCAAGATTACCTCATGCACATAGGCTTTTAAAATCCTTTGGGGAATCTTTTGCTGTCACMTTACCCAGGACACTTAGGAGAAACCCGGGAACAAGATCACCTTGCTCAGCTATTCCATTGGTAGGAATGAGGACCACAGTTTCAGAGGTCTCAGTGCAGACGGCAGCTCCAGTGCTCTGGGCCCTGGTGGGAGGCAACGGTCATGGAGGAGAGCTGTCAGTGCATGGAGGCCAGGAAGTGGGGGGTGGGAGGGGGGATGCACCTGCCAGGGCACCCCCAGTGACCCACCTCCTCTAGCCATGCCCACCTGCCTGCATTACCACCCACTCAAACCAGGGTGGTCTAATGAGGTTACGGCTCTTGTAATCTAGTTATTTTACCTCTGATCATTCCTGAATTAACACAGGAGGGTTGGGGACACCTCGCATCCACACCATAAAGCCATCTAATTAACCAAAGGTTTTTAAAGTTCTGATCTGAAATGAGGCAGCCTCTGGAAGTCTGGAAGTCAGRTGTTCCCTGGAAGGGCTGGGGACAAGGCTGAGTGGAAAGGGCTGGAGCACTTGCCCATGAGCCCTCTAGAGGTGACTGCTACTTGTAGACTGGAACCTTAGATCAGCAACACAGAAAAACATCGTGCCAACAATTAATTACACGAGGTTATCTGGGGGTTCGATTTGTTGTTTGGGTTTTTTTTTTCTTTTTCTTTTTTATCCTTATTACTTTTTTATTTTGAAAGTGTTTCACTGTGTTGCCCAGGTTGGCCTCAAAAAACTCCTGGACTCAAATGATCCTCCTTCCCTAGCCTCCCGAGTAGCCAGGATAACAGAAGTACCATTGCTCCCAGCTCTATTTCTTAATTAAGCACATCCAGGTCACATGTTTACTAGAATATGAGTGGGGAGGGCACAGAGGAGGAAGATCAGTGCCCAGGTATGCTCTCTGCCCTAAGTTTCCAACATGCCAGAAAGCCATATGTCCTGGGCCACTCTCAGCACTGTGATGAGAATTGAAACACAGATAAATGCTGGGTGGGGTGTGGCTCAGTGGTAGAGCGCTTGCCTAGCACTTACCTGTGCCCCGGGTTCCATCCCCAGTACCACCACTGAGGCAAAGTCTCACAGTGCCTGGCCCATCCAGGTTGGGTGAGTGAACATCCATGCCAGCTAAAACTCCCCTAACTTGCTTCGTGCTCCACCCCTACCCTACTAAGTGGTTAAAGAACTTCACAGAAGATCCCTTTTTAAAGGTTCCTTCCCCCAGTGCCAGGATAAAACTTTCATGTATTACATTTTTACAAATAATAGCTTTGGCTTTAATTGAATTAGGATTCCCAACTAAAAAAACAAATTTTTTTTGTACCAGGGGATTGAACCCAGGGGTGCTTTACCACTGTCCTTCATCCCCAGCCTTTTTTATTTTTATTTTGAGACGCTAAGTTGCTTAGGTCCTCACTAAGTTGCTGAGGCTGGCCTCAAACTTGTGATCCTCCTGCCCTCAGCCTCCTGAGCTGCTGGGATTACAGGTGTGCACCACTGCACCAGCATTCAACTAAATTTTAATTGTGGTCAAAGACATTCCTGAATAGTGCAGAAGTGTGTTCTCCCATTTAAAGAACATTATTTCTGTCCTAGACAATACCTAAGAAGCCTGGAAGAGTTAATGAAACTTCCTTCAGTGCTCATTTTAACTTCTCAAATGATCTAGTCAACAAGATTGGTAAACATTATAAACAGCTTTTGTTCTGTTTTAACTAACAGGTCAAAAAACTTGCAACTTATGTTATTGCTGCCGGACTTCAGTATGGGGTGGAAGAAGGCATCTTACATACTTTTTTTAAGGTAGGACTTTCAATGACTATGGATATTTTAACGTATTTTGCGGGACTCGGGGTGGAGCTCAGTGGTAGAGCACTTTGCCTCTGGGTTCCATCCCCAGCACCACAAATAAATAATAAATAGAAAGTGTGCTGCAATAAGGAAATGCAGATTGAAGGTGGCTAGTTCCACATAATAAGGAAAAACTTGGGCATCTACCATTACCACCTGCGCTTAGTTGCCATTATTAACCACTTATGTTCACACGCTGAGAACGGTAAAGGAAAAGATGGATTTCCTTTCATTGATGAAATAAATATTCAGTGCCRACCATGTGCCAACTCTTACAGGTACAGGGGACACAATAACATCATAAAGCCTCTGTCCTTGTGGTGCTTACTTCTAGTGGGGTGAGCTAAAAACAAAGAAGATGAAGATGTAAACAAAGCAAATATGGGACATTTCAGAAGTTGAAACCCGCTACAAAACCCAGCAGCACAGAATAAGGTGGAGYGTGCCAGGGTGGGGTCGCGACAGGGATAGGGCTTCTGTGTGATGGCTCAGGGAAGACTTTGTAAAGATGTGGTGTCTCAGGGAAAGGCAACGAGGGAAATCACTAAGGTGCTTTCTGGGGAAAGAACATTCCGGGCAGTGGGACTTGAATGCAAAGAGCCCAGTGGAAATGTGATGGCCATGTTTGAGGAACAGCAGGAGGACCAGGAGGCCCAGGAGGTTCCCAGCCACGGTGAGAGCTTTGACTTTTTTGACCATCAGACTGTTTTGAGCAGAAAAGTCACTATCTGAAGTTTTAAAAGATCGCGCCTGTTCTGCGGCTATGTGAGGGTGTGCCCTAGCGGGGCAGGCAGAATGGAGAGGGAGCGAGACCAGCCAGGAGGGTCTGAGACCTGAGTGGAAAYGGTGGTGATGCTGAAAATTGTTCCRGTCGGGGTGTGTGGGGAAGGTAGAGTTAGTGGGATTGCTCAGACTGTGAAWGCAAAGGGGACTGAAAGCAGAAGACCGTGAAAAGGATCTGGGTGTAAGCAGTGGACGTATGGGGGCTGCAGGCTATTGAGATGGGCAGGATCAGTGCTGGAGTAGGGCAGGGTGAATGCAGTGGGAATTCAGGAGTCCAGTCTGGGCCTGTGACTGGAGATGACTGATTTCAAGCACAGATCAGAGTAGGCGGTTGGACGTAAGAGAGATCAGAGATCAGGATTGACATGTCATGTCACAGGCTGCCTCACAGGGAAGGTTTTAGATCTGTGGGACCCAACGACTTCACCAGGAGAAGGAAYGGGAGAAGATATGAGTCGGACACTCCAATGTTTAGGGGCTCCAGGGAGATGAGAGGGAATGAGGAGGGGAGGCTGCCGGAGTGCTGGGAGGTAAGAAAAGAAACAAGAGTATTGAGAGAGCCAAGCAAAAAAGTATCTAAAAAGAAAGAATGAAGGCTGGGGACAGCTCTGTCAAGGAGCGCTCACAAAGCAAGCRAGGCCCTGAGCTCAAATCCACACTGCTGAGTCAATAAAGAGAAAGAAGGAAAGAAATCATGTCACATGCCACAGATAATCAAGTCAGATGAGACCTGAGAGTTGGCCACTGGGTTTTGCGAGGCTGTAGGACAACAGTCCCGCAGGAGTGGGTTCTGCAGGGAGCAGGTGGAGAGGAGTTGAAAAGGAATTTTGCTGTAAAAGAGGGATAGAGAAAACAGGGGAGAGAGAGAGGGAAGAGGGTAGTTGAAAGGCTGRTTGGATTTATTTTTTAATAAATATGACAGCTGGAGAGGATAAGCCACAGAAAACTCCCTGTCCTGTCCCCTCGCGGCCACCCCTCCCTGCCTGACCGCTGAGTGTTGGCCTTACTGGCCTCTGCCGACCTTTTGTCTCCTCCCTCTTGCTCTTTCCCGGGGTCACTCCCCCAGGACRGGCACCAGTGCCCTCCAGACCTAGCCCCCCAGCCAGGCTCTCTCTTGCACTTCAGCTCTACCGGTCCAGCTGCCCCCTCAGTCCCTTAACTCTACCTCTGAGCCACATCCCCAGCCCTAAATGCTGCAGTCACCCCCAAACCTGCTCCCCCTCCAGGGCTCCATCTCAGAAAATGGGACCACTCTACATCTAACTACCATCAGAACCCAGTTCCTCCTCCTCACCCATCACCAGCTTCCCAAACTGGTCAAACCCAACCTCCCTTCACCCACCTCCTGCTTCCCAGCCTCTAGTAATTCTCCATTCAGATCAACTTTTTTCTTTTCTTTTTCTTTTTTTTTAGCTTCCACGCATAAGAGGGAACATGAGGTACTTATCTTTCTGTGTCTGGCCTATTTCACTTAGCAGAATGTCCTGAAGTTACACTCTATTCCTCCTSAGAGGAGTGAATTCTAGATAAATGTCATGAGGACTGATTTATGAAGCCTCTCCTGGAGGGGATTTCTCAGCTGGTGGTCAGCTCTTCTGGAGCTCGTGATCTGCCACAGTCAAACCCATAGAACCAGGGGAAATGCTTTTCTTTTTTTTTTTCTTTTAGATAGCTTGGTTGGGTGAGGTTCCTGCTTTACCTGTTTTTGGAGATGGAACAAATGTAATTCCGGCAATTCATGTTCTTGACCTAGCAGGGTAAGCATTCTCCCGGAAAGGGGACTCTCCTAGATGGTTTGTGTATCAGTCTGTTAACTAATCTGTACTGAGAACTCAGCAGTGTTGTCAAATTGATTCTTCACCACACCCTGGCAGGGGGCATCTTACTATCTCCATTTGCATCTGATGAGAATTATATCTAACTAAGAGGTCTACATGTCTAGATTTTTGTTTTGTTTTGTCTTATTTTGTTGTGATGCTGGGGGTGGAACCCAGGCCTTAGACATGCTCAGCAAGTGCTCCACCACTGAGCCACACCCTCGCCCTCAACGCTCCCCACTTTTTAGAATTTTTTTTTTTAAATATTGACTTTTTACTTATAGGTGGACACAATACCTTTACTTTGTTTTATGTGGTGCTGAGGATCAAATCCAGTGCCTCACGCATGCTAGGCGAGCACTCTGCCTCTGAGCACAACCCCAGCCCTAAGGCCCTGTACTTCTGATGACAGGTTCAGGTTCATCTCTTGGGAACTTTGTCAGCAGAGTGACCCTTCTGGAAAAGAAAGAACTTGTTCTGTACACTCTGGGAACATAGTTTGCCTTTCCTTTGTCCAGATGAGATGGGGATGTCAGGCCCACCAAACCAAATTCTACAGATCAGATGATGAACTGTCGACCTGAAGCTTTTTTTTACAACTGGAGGTAAAGTGCCAATTCAAAAGAACAATTCTGCCTTTAAGGAAATAACTCTGCCTTTAAGTTTATTCTGAGGTAAATGTGAATGACGATGGCCCAGGAACACTAACTCAAGATACCTATAAATCAATACATCGACAAACACACCGGTGGGCCCATTCTCCCTGCAGGTAACAGGTATTACCTCACAGCACTCCACTCTGGGGTGGAAGGAGGCTGGAGGTCGCTAGGCTTAGCAATACATTCCAAGAGGTTTACCTAATMGTCACGGGAATGTTAGGTCACACACAGAGATTAAAAGTAAATGGTTGTTTTTCTAAGGGGCCCACCATGGCCCAAGATGATGTCCACTCTTGATCAATGACAATCATCTCTCCACAGCCGCAGGGTCCACACAGCAAAGGTTGGACAGTCTCCAAGGTTTCCAGTACAGATGTGGCTTCTTCAGAGAACTTAGCTGACCTGTCTTTCCCATTCCCAGGGGCTCCCACCTGCCACCCAGGCAGGTCCTGAGACCTTCTCCTTAGAAGACCCTGCCTTCCAGGGTCCAGGGACCCACTCCCCACCCCAGGCACGCTCCCAGGGAGGGAACAGTTTCTGCCCTTCAGTGAGGGGCTGGTTTCCGCCCTCCCCTCATCCACTGGCCACAGTGATTAGTCATGGTCCCAGAAAGATTTACCAGGCAGCAAGTGAAACTTAGATGTCACCGCCATCCCCCTATGTGCGTGCCTTTCAAGGCCCTGAACCTCATTTTTATTATTGTTCTTAAAGAATTTCTTAAAGTACGAGTTTCAACTCCACCGAACCTCGATCTGCTCCAGCCTGCGTTAACTCTGGGAGCGAAGGAGCCAGACCCGCCCTGGCCTTTTGCAGACATTGTGCATTGTGTAACAGGGTTCTCAAGATGTGGCTGAAAGGCTCTTTGACATTCTTAGGACAAAATACTCAGCATCAGTCTACAACATCTTGCTCCCAATAAATTAGTGAAAATGTTCTCATTATGGAACTTGGGGCCCTCTTCAGCAACACTGTTTTCTTCTTGCAAATTTCTCTGAAGATTGCCAAATACTTAACAGAAGATAAGACGCTAAAAAAAATCTGATAAATTAAATATAAAACAAATGTAAAATGAACTGTTATTGTTTCATTTAGATGTATGCATTTTTCTTTCATTTTACTGAAGAGGAAGCTAAAATGGGGTTGGGTGGAGAGGCCCTTGTGATGGACTTCTATTAACCCTAGTTCTCTCCAGATCCTTCAATCTGCCCAACCCCTGCTCTGCCCTCTCCAGAGCTCTGGAGATTGGAAGGTTTCTTCACTTGGATTTTCTCATTGATAAAACGGGGATGGGGATAGTGCCTGTCTAGTAGGCTGTTGTGAGGATTCAGTGGCAGAGCACCTCGGCACAGTCCTGGCTAGAGTTAAGCACAATGTTGACAGTCAATCATTCAGAGTGGGACACTCAGGCTTGGTCACTGCTGCTATGCGACTTCCTTGAGATACTGCTTCTCTGCATTGGTGTTTCACTTTGTCAGACAACAACTCCAAGCAGTCTTGGAGATCGTGGAGATCGTGGGCAGGGGCTTCCTGACCTAACGGGATTAGGTCTTTTTGATGGCGAGGTGCTGCAGACTAGGAGAAGCCCAGATCCAGGGCCAGGCGGTTCTGACTTTAAAGGCTGGCTCCACTGCTTTCCTCGTAGGTGGTCAGCCTGAGAAATGTCATCCTTGGGTGCAAGGATATCCTTGGATAATGATGCCAACCCCAATCTTGTTGGCGATTAAGAGAACCTTCCAAATGCCATGTCTGGGGGTGTGGAGTTCAGTGAATTCTAGTTCATTGTCTCTCCTCAACTTTTCCTCTCTTCTCTGTTGCTCTGCAGAGTGATACAAAACGTAATAGACCATGTGCCAAAGCTCCATTACCTGGTGGCTGTGGATGAATCAGTCCATACCCTGGAGGACTTTGTCAAGGTACGGTACTCKGGAGTGATTTGTTAAATAGCTTTACCCCTAAACAAATATTAGGAATTCGTTGTGCTAATAAGACTGAGGACTCCTAAAATACAATGTCCTTAAAACTCRAACTCTGTATTTGCAGTGTGTGGGGGGAGTTACGACCAAAATGGCCTTCCTTCAGCCTACAAGGGGAACAGGAAGGACCACATAGGGCTCTGGCTGAGAGGACAAACGTCACTGCACCAAGGACACACGGATGACACAGTGGAATCCTAAAGTGTGTGTGGAGACACTGTTTTCACAGTATGGCTATGCCCAGGCTCACCAGCCCTCCTGGCCACCTCCAGGCCATGCTGGCTAATGCCACCACTCGCCTGGGGAGTGTGACCGTGGACCTGCCCCGCCTGCCTCCTCTCTCTGCATTTGCAAGATTTGGCTCAGATCTCTTCCTCAGCACCCTCCCTGCTCCTGCAAAGCTCCCCCTCCAGCCAGAGGCCTCTCTTCCATGCTCCCAGAGTATCTGAGTCTGTCTGGGGTTATAACACAGCACTGCAGCTTGGCAGGCTTTTTCCCTCAGTCTGGAGGCTGGGAAGTCCAAGATCAAAGCGCTGATAGATTTGGTGAAGACTCGCTGTCTGGCTTCACAGATGTCACCTTCTCCCTGTTAGGGTCTGTAAACAAGTCAGGATGACACCTGGCATTTTGCCAGAGGGAGTGGTTTGTGAAGTAATGCCAGTATATGTATATACACCCCTCCTGTCCTACAATAAATGGCTCCCACTCCTGCTGTATCAATGTACACAGTTGCTTGTCACCCCACCCCCCTTTTAGTTTGCTGCAGCCGGACTGCAGCACTCCCTRTGTGCCCACGTGGTGGAAGGAGGCAGGGAGCTCTCTCTGGCCTCTTTTATCAGGGCACTAATCTCATTCATGAGCCTCCAACCTCATGAACCGATGGGCTCCCCAATCCCCACCTCCTAAATCCAACATCTCAGGTGTTAGGATTTCAGCATGTGAAGTCAGGGTAGTGGGGAGCACAGACTGTCAAGGACAAAATCATAACTAATTTAGTTACAGTTGTAATTAGCTTTTATTCTCAATTCACGAAATCAGGAAACCCTCCATTCTACAAAACAGAACAAGGGCTCCCACGGGCTATGGAACAAGGAAACCAAATAGCAAGTCAAACGCTTATGGGTTAGCATCAGGTTAGTTTTTTGTAAGGGTTAAAGCAGAGGGAATCTCCTTAATTAAGCTGACTCTGGTAGACAGGAATCTCCTGTTTGGGGGAAAATAGTTCTGTTTGGGTCTATCTGCTTCCCTGTTTCAGCTTGATTGGGTGGCACTTAGCATGGGTCACTCCATTTTGGTTAGGTCTGGTCTGCTGGGGCCTCGTGCCACAGTACAGTCTGGAACAGTGGGCTCTTGTGATTTTTGTTTAGTGAGACGGTGGCACAGAGCCTCCTTTGCTGAGCTGCAAGAGCATTATCTGTGTCTGTCTCCCTTTTCAAACTGGGAGCTCCTCCAGGGCAGAGACTGGGCCTTACTCATCTCTATCTCCAATATATTTTCAGAATAAGTGACTAACTATGTACCCTCTATGCCCTGCACTCTATTTTGGAGTATATAAATATTCAGTTCTGTTCACATTCATTTGAGAAGTTTTATATAAACTAAATAACATCTCTACTCTTCCCTAACAGTGCATCAGTAAACACACCGGCCCTGGGAAAACCCAGAAAGTACCCAAAGAAAATGCTTACCTAATCAAGGATTTAAAAGTTAGTATATAATAAATTCTTTTTTTTTAAAAAAAAAAAAAACTGTTTTCTAAACCCTGCTGGTTCCTGAGGGTGTGGGTGGAGGCCTGTCTGCAAAGCACTATTCTAGGTGCTCTACTTAAAGCAGCTTCCTCTTCTAGCCTCAGTTTTCATTTGTGAAAACCCCTCAGAGGCCGTAGTCAGAGAAGGTGTGTGAACGCTGATGTGTAAACTGCTACCCAAACACTGGGTGTGTTCACCTTGGYCTGTTTCTAAAATTCCATGAGCTGAGTGAGATTCCAACCTTTCATCACATCACAACAACAAATAGCTTGTCGTCAGGTGGTGAGCTTCTTTAAGCTTGCTTTAAGATGTAATCTGGTTTTTTTGTTGTTGTTGTTTGTTTGTTCCTTTCTTTTGTTTTTCCTAAGTACTGGGGCTTGAACCACTGAGCTGCATACCCAGCCCTGTTTATTTTGAGACAGGGTCTTACTAAATTGCTGAGGCTGACCTCAAACTTTCAATCCTCCTGCCTCAGCCTCCTGTGAAGCTCCCACATGCTGAGGCATGTGGGGTGGCACCTGGCTTAAGCACTGTATTTACATATTTAAGAGTGATATTTTGCCAGGGCACCGTGGCACATGCCTGAAATCCCAGTTACACAGGAGGCTAAGGTAGGAGAATTCAAAGTTCTTGACCAGCCTTGTTATGCTCGAATTCGGGACCCCCAAAAGACCACCAGAGACCAAGATCGATGTAAGCAGCAAAGAGGTGTTTATTGYGAGCTAGCTTGGTCCTCCGTGAGCACACAGCAACTGGTGACGCTGAGAGGCCCCGAGCCCAGGTTTGCAACAGTTTTATACATTCTTTGGGGAAGGCAGGGACTCCCACATACATCATAGCATCTCTTAGCAAATCATCACACACCTCGGGAAAATCAAATAAAAACTCTAAAACATGATTAGCACATTCACAGGCGGGAACAAGTTGGRTAGGGGTGATTGGTCAGTATAAAAGGGGTATTCATTTGAACTGATTGGTTTAAACCAAGAGGGGTGTTCATGCTGAACTACATGGTTTCCCAACATGTTATCAACCACCATAAACCACTGGGAGGGTCATCTGGCATCCCAGGTATTTCCCTGTCTCATGCTGATTGGTGGTTGCTAGGGGGTTGCTATGGATCCCCACCTAGCCTGACTGAGTCAGGGACACCTGGCGCAGCAGATCTCTCCTGTTATTTGTAGATAAACAACTTAGCAGGGKGGGAATGTGCCTAGGAGTGCTCTGTGGGTCTTTACAAGGACAAAGGTCATGTTCCTTCCTTGGACAGGCTTTGCTCTGAGGTAGAGGCTGGTTTTTCAGCCTCAGCAACCAAGACTCTGTCTCAAAATAACAAATAAAAAAGACCATGTGGGGCCTAGTGCAGTGGCGYGCATACAATAATCCCAGCAGTTTGGGAGGCCGAGGCATGAGGATCATGAGTTCAAAGGCAGCCTCAGCAAAAAGTGAGGTGCTAAACAACTCAGTGAGACCCTGTCTCTAAATAAAATACAAAATAGGGCTGGAGATGTGGATCAGTGTTCAAGTGCCCCTGAGTTCAATCCCTGTTACATTCTTCTACCACAAAAAAAAAAGAAAGAAAAAGAAAAACCTAGGTGGAAGAGTGCCCTAGTTCAATCTTCAGTACCACCAAGAATGATAGACAGCTGTGGTGCTGTAAGAACTGATACCACTGGTGGCCTCTGGGGAGCAGAGCTGGGTGGGTGATGTTTGGGGAACAGAAGGATTGTTTTCTGTTATACTTATCATTCTTTTGGATTTTAAACCATGGGACTGCATTATTTGAAAAGTAGATGCTATTTAATTTTTTTTTAAAGCACTGGGTGGGATGTAGCTCTGTGAAAGAACATTTGTCTGAGACATACAAAGCCCTGAGCTTGCTCCCCAGTACTGCCCCCCAAATGATTTAAAGGGAGTGGAAGTGCTTCAGGGTTGAGCCTTCAGCTCAGTGTGGAGCACAGGCCTCACATGCCTGAGGGCCCGGGTTCCACCCCCGAAGCACACAAGATAAACAATAATCATATCCTGTTATCAATAATCATATTCCTGGCAGTACCCAGCTCTGGATGAACTGACTTCCTAATTAATGCATGCATTCTGTTTTTCTTCAAGAACTGAAGTGATTTGGATCTGTTATAACTGTCAATATGAAACAAAAAAGGTAAATTTCTAATTTTACTTTAACTCTTAGCAAGAGTGTCTTGATCATTTGCTGGTCAACCTAAAAATGGAAGCGCTCTTCGTGAAGGAGAATTTTAATATCCGATGGGTTGCCCAGACGGGATTTGTGGAAAATATCAACAATATCCTCAAAGAGTACAAGCAAAGCAGAGGATTATTGGTAACTATAATCATTTCTTATTTAAACTTCTGATTTAAGCAAAATAAAAGAAACTGACTTTGGGTGCGATTATACCAATCAAAGTGTCTTCTTTTTCAAATATCCAAACATCTAACTTCAAGTTGTTTTTTAAATTTGACAAATTTGTCCAGGTCTGACAATTTACATGCATGTTAGTTACATTAATATTGCCARTGGAACATTAAACATCTTAAAGTGAGCTTTGAAAGTAAGAGTTATGCAAATTGAGCATGATGGTGAGCTCAAGAATAATTGTGGCAAAATTGTCTATGCAAGGAAATGTACCCAGGTATCTTACTGGCTGGCCAGTTTCAGGGGAGGGTAGGTTGGACTTAGCAGAAGTCTGTAAACTACTTCGATTTCTTTCTATTGGCCAGAGGATTCACTGGTTATTTAATACTCAGAATCTTTCAAGGTAGGTATTCTTCTTGAAAAATTAATTAAYAAATAAAAATTATATATATATTTATCATAYACAGCCTGATGCTTCAAAATATGTATCCACTGTGGAATATGGAATGTGTGAATTAATTAATGTGCATTACTTGACATACTTAACTGTTTTTTGTGGTGAAAAATAGCTACACTAGATATTCTTTTTAGTTTTGATTTTTTTTTTTTTTGCGGGAGGGTACTAGGGATTGAATTCAGTGGCACTCAACCACTGAGCCACATCCCCAGCCCTTTGATTGTTCTTCAAAAATGTGTTTATGGGTGCATTATTAGTTATACATAATGGTAGGGTTCATTTTGACATGATCACACACACATGGAGTCCCCAGTACCTCCTGTTTCCTTTCCCTCCTCCCTTACCCTCCTCCCCTTCCTCTACTGGTCTTCCAGTTATTTATTTATTTATTTATGCTTTATAAATATACATAAAGGTGGAATTCACTGTGATACTTTCGTACACACACACACAGCATAGTTTGGCCAATTTCATTCTGTAATTCCTCCCTTTCCTCATCCCTTCTCCTCTCCCCTTAGTCCCTTTCTCTGCTCCACTGATCTCCCCTCTGTTTTGTGGAATCTGTCCTCCCTTTCCCCCCTTGTTTTACTCCAGCTTCTGCATATGAGAGAAAACATTTGACCCTTGGCTTTCTAGGTCTGGCTTATTTCACTCAGCGTGATGTTCTCCAGTTCCATCCATTTACCAGCAAATGCCATCATTTCATTCTTCTTTATGGCTGAGTAAAACTCCACTGTGTATTTATATCACATTTTTTTAAAAAATATTTATTTTTCAGTTATAGTTGGACACAACAACTTTATTTTACTTATTTATTTTATGTGGTGCTGAGGTGGAACCCAGGGCCTGGCACCTACCTCGCGACTGCTCTACCGCTGAGCCACACCCCAGCTCTCACATTTTCTTTATTCATTTATCTTTATTCATTTATCTGTTGTGCACCTGGGCTGGTTCCATAATTTGGTTCTTATTAATTGCACTGCTATAAACACTAAATGTCCCTGTATCACTATAGTATATGTTGATTTTAGTTCTTTTGGACAAACACCAAGAAGTGGGGTAGCTGGGYCATATGGTGGTTCCATTCCTAGTCTTTTGAGGAATCTCCATTCTGCTTTCTGAAGTGGTTATATTAATTTGCAGTCCCACCAGTAATGTATGGCTGTATCTTTTCCCCACATCCTCTCCACCRTTTATTATTATCTGTGTTCTTGATGATTGCCATTCTAACTRGAGTGCAATGTAGTTTTGATTTGCATTTTCCTGACTGCTGGGAACATTTTTTCACATTTTTGTTGGCCATTTGTTTTCTTCTTTTGAGAAATGTCTGTGTAGTTCTTTACCAGTTTATTGTTTGGGTTATTTCATTTCTTGGGTGTTAAGTTTTTCGAGTTCTTTATATATTCTGGATATTAATTCCCTTTTGGATATTAATTCTCTGCAAGAAGTAGCTGGCAAAGATCTTCTCCCAGTCTGTAGGCTCTCTCTTTGGGCACTCATTTTCTTTGCTTACAGAAACTTTTTAATTTGCTGGCATCCCACTTTTTGGTTCTTGGTTGTGTTTCTTGAGCTTTAGGAGTCTTGTTAAGGAAGCCGATGCCTGCACCAATTCACTGACCCTGGGTTTTCTTCTAGCAATTGCAAAGTTTCTGGTCTAATTCCTAATTCTTTAATCCATGTTGATTTGACTTGTACAAGGTGAGAGAGGGATCTAGTTTCATTCTTCTACCTATGGATATCCAGTTTTCCCAGCATCATTTGTTAAAAAGGCTGTCTTTTCTCCAATATGTATTTTTGGCATATTTGTCGAATGTCAGATGACTGTCACTATGTGGATTTGTGTCTGTGTCTTCTATTCCATTGCTCTTTGTGTCTCTTGTGTTACTAGAGCTCTGTAGATGATTGAGGTCAGGTGTTGTGATGTCTCCTGTGTCTCTCCTCCTGCTCAGGACTGCTTTGGCTATTCTTGGTCTTTCATTCTTCCACATGAATTTTAAGACTGTTTTTGTTGTTGTTGTTGTTGTTCTAGTTCTGTGAAGGATGTCATTGGTACTTTGTGGGGAATGCATTGAATATGTATATTGCTTTTGGTAATGTGTCCATTTTAACAACATTAATTCTGTCTATCCAAGAACATGGGGAGGGGTCTTTCCATCTTCTAAGGTCTTCTTTAATTTATTTCTRCAGTATTCTAGTTTTCATTATAGAAGTATTTCACCTCCTTTGTTAGATTTATTCCCGAGTGGTTTTTTTTTTTTGAGGTTATTGTGAATGGGATATTTTTCTTGATTTCTTTCCCAGCAGATTCATTATTGGAATATAGGAAAGTTATTGATTTACCAGTGTTGACCTTGTGTCCTGCTATTTTGTGGATTCATCAGCTCTAGAAGTTTTTTTTTTTCCCCCCACATAATCAATGTTTTAAGTTTTTTGTTTTAGGTTTTTTGTTTTTGTGATGCTGGGAACCAAACTCAGGGCCTCATGTTCAGATAGGTACTCTTATCTCTACATTATAGATGAGGAAACTGGGGTTCAGAGAGATGAAGCAACTTCTTCAAGGTCACACAACTACTCAGGAATTCAAACTTAGGATGCAGACTTAGTAAGAATTGTCTCATTTCACCACAGTGCCTCTACACCTCCGCTCTGAAGTTGGGTAAATGCAGCACCTGCCCAAATCATTGGGCTAATCCCAGGGAAGTGTTCTAAAGATGAAAGTAGGTCATTCGTAAGAAAATGCTTTGAAACTGTAAAATAGCCTGTGAGTAAAAAGGGTCACCATTATCACAATTACTGTTCATGGAAAGCTGCAGCTAAGCAAGCGCAGTGTTCCCATGGTACCTACCCTAAGAAACACGATCTCACAGTTAAGAATAAGTAAAAGATACTCCGCAGGGCATGGTAGCTTGTGCTGCTGGTGTCATTTGGGAGGCTGAGGCAGGAGGATCATTTGAACCCAAGGGTTTGGGGCCAGGTTGRGCTGCAAAGCAGGACCCTGTCTCTTAAAAAAAAGAAAAAAAAAACTTAGCAGAAGAAATCATGATCCCTGTAAGTATCAGCATTCCCTGATGGGGAGATAATCCTGAGGCAGTGCCCAGCCAGCCCTAGGTGTTAGACAGTGTTTTCCTCTGGAGGTCAATTGTAAAACAGCAGCACGAGCTTAGAGATATGACAAGACACTTTAAAGAGACCATATGGTTTCTGATTAGCAAGRCTGCACAGAACATGATAGAAGGAATAGTGTATCTAAAAACTAAACAGAGGGCTGGTGGTGGGTAGAGCTCTTGCCTACCATCCTCAAGGCCCTGGTTTCCACCTCCAGCACCTCAAAATTAAAAAAAAAAAAAAAAACTAGACAAAGTCTACACATCCTTGGGCACTGGCTAGCAGCATAGAATAGGAAGCTGCCAGGCCCGGCATAGGAAGCATTCTGCCAGCAGCATCCCATGCCTCCATCCAGGACAGGGTCTGGAGCCATGCCCTCCCATGACCGCAGCTTCTCTAGCAGGGCTGGGTGACCACTGCTGCAGAGACACACAGAGGAAGCCACTCAACAGCAGCTCATCCCACTCCCCTTGTTCTGATCAATGTTCAGCAAACAAACCTGGGCCGACTTGGCTGCCGTGCTTATCTGCTCTAGGGGAGGAAAGTGCCAGACCTGTGGACTTGGAGCATTCCGAGCTCTGTGGCAGCAGTGCTTCTCCTTATAAGTAGATGAGTGACCAGATGCAGAAGCTAGAGGGAAATAAAGGAAAGGGGCGGGAGGCCTAGTATATAGTGAAGGTAAAGGGAAGAGCAGTAATGGAGGAGGAGGAGACGGAGA